CATTAAACATTCAAAAAAAAAATAATAACTATTGTTTCAGTAGGCAAAAAGTGCACAGTTGCAAGAGATGGAAGAAATATCACTTAATAATCACATTTATGTTAAACTGAATCCATTATTCTTTATTTCTACAATTAAATAATTCGAATTTTAGTATTTATAACGACTTTTATAATCTCCGGATAAAACGACGGATAAGTGATTCGTGGTGGTTGTCATACTATCAACAATGCGGATATTGATAGGCATTGTTGCTACAATTCATATTAAATGTTAAATACCTTTTCATTTATCAATTCTAGACATTAAAAGTTATTTTTCTAGATAGACAATTTATCAATCTATTAGATGCAAAAATAAAAAATAGGGTGTTCCATTTAATTTTTTTGTTATTTAACTTTTAACAAACTTCTTAATTTTTTACTCTTTGCAAATGCAAAACACCAAAAAATTGTTACAGTTTTAAATTCTGTAGTTTCTTCTTTGCAAAAGTAAAATTTGTTCTAGCTGTCTTAATTTTTGTATAATAAAAAGTGCATGTTTTCGTCAAAAAAAGTCTTATTTCTAACTAAGGGAAATCGACTAATAAAAGTTTAGCGTAAAAACATTGTTTTAAAAGGCTACATCCAAAAATGCCAAGAAACATACGGTGTTTCATTTAAAAAAACACAAGTTTGAATCGTAACATTTTTTAAACATGCTGTATGATAAAATAATTTTGAGTGATGCACTAGATTAGTTTCTAACAATATCCTATATATTTTTTTTTTAATTTACCATTTAAAAGTCACTAAGGGACTTTTTCAAATCGCTGGGACACCTTGTATGTATGCACAAAAACATTTGAGGTAGGTACCTCAGTTTTTTTTTTAATTCTGAAGTTATGACAACATGAAAATAATTGTATACAAAATTCGAATGTTTAATTTGGTTGTTTCTAAAATATAATTTTAGTTTCATAACCATTACTACCTACTACTCTGATTTTGTTCTGGGTTTTAACCCCCAAAACCCCCTCCTCGTTGCGCCACTGCCTCAAATTATCGAGAGTTTGAAAAATAATTCAATCATAGGGCTACTTACGTTTTTACCATCTTTGTGACTGGGAATCGCCTTTTGTACGCCGCCTTCGCCAACTGGCCCTACGACAAACATAACTACATCGACGGAAACGTCACTGTTGTCGTCAACACGAAAGTGATGCCCTTCGACACCTGGTTGCCCTTCGAGTACAACGACAGCCCCCTTTATGAAAGCGTCTTCGCATTCCAGATTTTCAGCACAACGCTGTATGGATTCTACATCGGGGCCGCCGATGCCGTCATTTGCGGGTTCATGATGCTGATCAAAGCCCAATTTTTGATCGTCAAAAGGGAACTCGAAACGTTGATCGAAAGGGCGCAACTGCGGAAAATCCCGACGATTTCGGTCAAGGGATTGAACGGGTCGAATTGTTGGATGATAAGACACAGGAATTTGTTGAAAATTTCGCCAACGAATGTATCTTTCACCACCAGGAGTTGATCGCATTGTGTGATCACGCCGAAGAGGATTTTAGTTATTTGATGCTTTTGCAGTTCATTTCTAGTTTGTTGATTGTGTGTTTCCAGTTGTTTCAAGTCAGTACGGTTAGTTCAGTTATTTAGTGTGTTTTTTTCTTAAGTTTTTTTTTATACAGTTGACCCCCGATAGTACTGCATTTTTCAGTATGACGAGTTTTTTGATTCTCATGTTATTCCAGATTTTGTGCTACTGTTGGCACGGAAATGAGGTGCAAATTGTGAGTGGGGAATTGTCAAGAAACGCCTTTTATATCAATTGGATCATTATGAAAGAATCCTCGAAGAGAACTCTCCTACTTTTGATGATGAGAGCTCAAAGGCCTTGCTATTTCACAGCCGGGAAGTTTTCAATTCTGCCTTTACAGACTTTTGTGGCGGTAAAAATGCATTTTCTGGTTGACTTTTTTAATTTTTTGTTTCAGATCGTCAGAAGTGTAAGCTCATATTTTATGTTTTTGAGGCAAATGAATGCTTAAAAAATTGCACGAATTACACGTTTTTTTAAATCTAAATACTTTTAAAATGAGTTTAGTTGATTCTGAAAAACCTGCTGCTGGCAGAAAGTGAAATAATTCGGCTGTCCCAACTCAAAATACAGTAACTAAAGTTTTTTTTTAATAAGTTTTTTACATACATATTTTGGCTTATTTTCACACTTAATTCATTTAAATACGCATTAGTAATTATTTATTTAAAAATAACTAAAAAAAATATGTTTTCAAAAACAGTAAAACACAGTACCTTAGAAACAGTCCATTGCACTCTACTTTTTAAGTGAAAATAACTCAAATAGGTATGAAAAAAACTATATTTTCGCTACCCCAATTGTAAACAACTTATAATTTAACGTCGTAATCAATCAACTGTCATCATCAGTCTTGAATTTCATTAAAAAATTATCACAAAAATTATTAAAATCTCAGAACCAAATTACTTGAAACAAGGAATAGAATTAACTGGTAATTCTTTTGTTTTTTTTTAATGCCAATGTTTGAACTTTATTTTGAAATAAAAATACAGGGTGATTGTAAATACTTGTGATTTTTTCCTCAAATTTGAGTCAAATTTAAAATTTTAGTTTGGCAACCTTGACTTTCAAATTCAAGCGTCAAATATTTAGAGGCAATTGTCTTTCATTTGCGACGGGCACCGTAAAAGGATTACCAATAATTCAGTGTTGCCAACAGATTTTTTTGTCACAAACATTAATAGTCCGGTGTAATCTTTAATTAAAAAAATTGAGTGTTTTTGAAAACTTCAAATTTCACCTCCAGTTGGGACATCCTTATCGAAAACCTCTTGAAATTTATGTATTTACTTACTTTATTTTAATTTTAGCGATGAGTAGTATTTGTAAAAATTAAATAGAATCTGGCACTATAAATTTTTCATTGTTTGGGGATTTTTACACCAACGTATTAAATTGTCTTTAAAAAATGATATTTTTAAGTTAAATAATAATATGTGTGGAGAGCAAGTCATTCGGGAAATCTGTTGAAATAAGTCATTTTTGGGTCCAATTGAAGACTACAAACATCTTGAGCAAAAAATTGGTTTTAATGGATGTAAAGATCCACATAGCAAATTTTCCAGAATCAACGACTAGATGTTTCGTCCCTCTAGCACGTTTTTAATCCTACACACTAGCAATAGAATTATTGTAAAAATTACACAAATGCAAAATAAAAATCAAATAACTAGCTTTAAAATTTTTAAAAAAGAGAATTAAAAATAATTCTAGTAAAAATAACATTGGAATCAAAACGCCAGGTTAAAGAAAAAATAAGAATGTACAATCTTGCGAAACACTCTAATGCCCAATTCTGGGATGGATTCAATTTATTGAAGCCCGAAACTGGCTACATTGACAGTGAAATCCAAAAAATGTCTCAAGAGCAATTATTCGTATCCAAATCAAATCTAAATTTGCTGGTGAATAGTTGTATTGAGACTCTAAACGATCAAAACAACATCAAAGTAGTTTACGCAATGCAAACATTGTGTGCTATAATACACGCGATTTTTCGAAAATCCACAGAAATCGACTCAGACATGTTTTTGACAGGTTTTGAAAACAGTGAAGAGAAAGTCCAAGTATTGCTTTCATCTTGTCAGAGCTTTCTTGAAGGTTGATTGTATAAAAACCGTAAAATGATTTTACAAATTGCGATTTTTCAGGTGCTCATATCCTGAAATGTTTATCTTTGAAACTGCTCTTGATTCTTACAACTAGGACTGAAAATAGTGACCAAAACATTTTAGTTGAACACGTGATGAATACATCACTTTTTGAGTGTCTTTTAAAACTCCTTTCTCACAGTAAAACGCGTCAACTGCACGGTTACGATGTTGTATTATTGTTGACTTTGCTTGTAAATTACCGAAAATACAACGCTGCCAATCCGTACGTTGTAAAATTGTCGATTTTAGATGAAGAATTCGCTTTGAACGGTTACGGCCAAGTAATCACCTCTTCGTTGTGCAAATTTTGTAGTCTATTATTAGAGAATTGATCGAGAATCACCACACCTTTTAGCTGACTTCGCTCACGACGATAGTGGGCAACATTTTCATATCGGAAGAGGGTGTTTTAAGGACGCAACAAATGAGAGCAAACAATGCGTATTTGTTGGCGTTTTATGAAGCCATTCACTTGAATAGGAATTTTATAATGACTTTGGCCCACACACAAATTGACGGGAGTTCTCCACCTTCCCCTATCAATACGATAAGTCCTTGAAGTAGTCCGGCGGACATGACGGCTATTAACTTGAGTTCGTAGCCTTCTAATCTCTTAGTCGTATTTTTCCAATACTGGTAAGTTAATTACTAGACCGCAGTTTTGGAATCTCATTCTCAGTGATTCCCCGATTTAGGCTTAAGTCCATTGTGTCTGTTTCTCCAATTATAATTAAATTAACAAAATAAAACAAGTCATTTTAGTGCAAATAAAGTTTAAATTAAGTTAAGTTAAGTTTAAGTTAAAATTGACAATAAAACCGTTGTTGTTAATGTTGGATTTTAAATTTGTTTGGCACACCAAAAAAATCAAGTGTTCCGTCCTAGTAGCAGAAATATTGTTCCGGAAAATTCCATTTGGGCCACTTAATGGATTCGAATCTCCTATTTACACTTTCTTTATACAAAGTTTTCTTGTTTCTAGTAATACAGTCTAGTCTGTTTATACAAAAAAATGTATCTAATTGACATGTACAGACAATAAAATCAGTTTTACGAACCTAAACCTACTTTTATTTCATACATACATCGCCTTTCAATTATTAAACACATGAGTTGAAACTTTCTGGCTTAATACCAGTCTAGAAGTACCAATTACAACCCTCTTGAAACTTTACGTAAAACAGATATTACAGTGATTACCCCAATGTTTCACGTATTTAAAGCAAAAATAGCGAAAAACCGATCAGTTGAACCAAAATGACCACAACAAAAAACCTCAAAGAAATCCCTTCTAACTACTTGAGAGTGCACCTAACAGTGCTTCAATGGCTCGGAATCGACATTCTCCCAGTTGAGAACATCCCTCTAGGCTTATTTTACATCTACACTGTCCTTATGTTCATCGCGATGTGCTTCTTCCTAACAGCTGAATTCCTCGACATAGTGATAAACTACGAAGACATCTACAAGCTGAGTTTCACCCTTTGTTACTACGTGACCCAGGTTTTAGGCACCGCAAAAATGTTTCTGATGTTCTATATGCGTAAGACACTGAGGGGCTACTTGACGGCCTTAGAAAATGGTATTTTCAAACCGAATCCCGCCCGTGGCGGAGTCGAGGAGCTCGAATTGGTCAACGATGCGATATCTCTGTGCAATCGACAAGTAAAACCTCTAAATACTTCGAGAACTTAAACTAATTCGACCGTAGGGCTACGTTTTTTACACCCTTGTTTTCCTTGCCATTGGAGCCCGCCTTTTGTACGCCTCCCTTGCCAACTGGCCCTACGACAAACACAACTACATGGACGGAAACGTCACAGTTATCGTCACCACAAAAGTGATGCCCTACGCCACGTGGATGCCCTTCGACTACAACGATAGCCCCCTTTATGAGAGCGTCTTCGCGTTCCAGATTTTCAGCACCTTTGCCTACGGCATTTACATTGGGGCTGCCGATGCCGTCATTTGCGGGTTCATGATGCTGATCAAAGCCCAATTTTTGATCGTGAAAAGGGAACTCGAAACGTTGATCGAAAGGGCGCAAAAGGCCGCAATTGCGGAAAATTCCGACAATAAGGACGACTTCGCCGAAGGGATTGAACGGGTCGAATTATTGAATGAGAAGACTCAAGAATTTGTTAAAAAATTAACCAGCGATTGTGTTTATCACCACCAGGAGTTGATCGCAATGTGCGATCACGCCGAAGAGGATTTTAATTACTTGATGCTTTCGCAGTTTATTTGTAGTTTACTAGTGGTGTGTCTCCAGTTGTTTCAAGTTGAATTCTTGTTTATTGTTCCTATTTGCGAAAATTTGCTTTTGACAGTTGACCTTCGGTAGTGCCGAGTTTTTCAGTATGGTGTTCTTTTTGATCCTGATCTTGTTCCAAATTTTGTGCTACTGTTGGCACGGAAATGAGGTGCAACTTGTGAGTGGGGAATTGTCAAGAAACGCTTTTGAAATCAATTGGATCATTATGAAAGAATCCTCGAAGACAAGTCTCCTGCTTTTGATGATGAGAGCTCAAAGGCCATGCTATTTCACAGCCGGAAAGTTTTCAATCCTGTCTTTACAGACTTTTATGGCGGTAAAAGTGCTTTTTCTGGTTACCTTTTTTTATTTTTTGTTTCAGATCGTCAGAGGTGCAGGCTCATATTTCATGTTTTTGAAACGAATGAACGCTTAAAATAAATTTTGCCATATCGTCATTGATTAAAAAAACTCCTATGTGCAAAAATTGTAATTACTCAGAAAATGAAAAAAAACACAAAGAACAAACAGGTATTACCATCATGTAAAACAAAAAATAGCTTTCTAGAAGCATAAGAAAATATAGTTATGCTTATTTTCTAAGATTAAACAACCACCATAACCCTCAATACCCGTAGTTATTGTTGTAATGTTATATACAGCGTGTTAAAAAAAGATTGTAAAATATTTAAGGAGGTCATAGTATAGACTAAAATAAACAAAAAAGTAACGGTTTCGGACAAATCAAATATGAAAATTTTTAGAATTTTTACTAGAAGCTTCTCCTTTTTGTTTGCAAATAACAGATTGCAAATAAATGTTTTGGTCTATACTATTATCTTCTTCTCTTCTTTTAACACCCTGCATAGTCATAGGTACTTCAACAATAAGCTTATTCTGCAGTATGTCCCCGGATTGAGTTCACAAGAGGAAAAGAATTTTTATCTCTGACTTTACGCCAAAACTGCAAAGGAAAAACATTTTTTGCTTTATCTGAAACGAGCAAATCTGTAATTAGAACTTCATTCTTCTAACTCAGTAGAAAGAAAAGTCCATTTTTCTCTTGATTTTGGACTAAAATAACTTTTTTCTATTTCGGTGTTAGAATAAGTCTATTCCCAAATGACGTCATTTGAGTGCTGGAATAAGTCGTTCGCAGTAATTTAATTTTAGTGACGGACTTTCTTCACAATTCATTTTCAAATCTGAAAATATGAATTATTTTTATTTTGTACAGCCGCCTAAAATTATTCCACATACCTAAATGTCGCCAACCGTCGCAAAATTATTTCTAAAAAAAATAAATTTTCGTTTTTTAATTTATAAAATGACATAAAGCGGCAAAATAGAAAAAATAGCATAAAACACTTGTTGCAGAAGGTTCTTCAAGCACTCATTTGTTCCTTAAGTCGTTTCGAAATTTCAAATTTGTGCTTGAATAGATACTTTCTGCAACTTGTACTTTAATATACTATTTTCTGCTTTTTAAATCCCATCACATTGGCGGTTTTATTTTTTTGACAATGATGTCACTTTGACAAATGAGTTTTCACAAGTTAAATAACAAAAATGTTTGTAAAAAACATAATTTTAATAAATGGCAAGTAAAAAAACAGCTTCTGAAAAAAACAGTCATTTTTAACAAAAACAAACATTATTCAATTAATTAATTAATTGTCAAAGTGACATCGTTGTTGTATGTAGTTCTCCGTACCGCCAATGTAACAGGACTTAAAAAGCAGAGAAAAATTATTATAAGTCCAAAATCAAGAGAAAAATTAACTTTTCTTTTCACTAAATCAGAATAATGAAGTTTTAAGTACAGATTTGCTCGTTTCAGAGGAAGCAAAAAATGTTTTTCCTTTGCAGTTTTGGCATAAAAAGAAAGATAAAAAAATGTTCCTCTTGTAAACGCAATCCGGGGACATACTGTATACCTACTTATTAAGTTTCATCATGTTTATAAAAATATTAGGTAAAGAGTTATTGTTTGAGGTAAGATTTACTTATAGATTAAAAAGGACATAATGTGCGGGCTCGAATTATTTCGAGTTCTGTCCTGGAATGTAATGACAAGGCCTTAGCAGGCAAAAATCTGCTTGAATATAGAATATCGGTCACCTCTTTCACAATAGGCAAATTGATGATTTACAATCGACGTAAAAATGCACATAACAGGTTTTCCACACTAGCATTAAAATTGTTATAAACAACTTTGAAATGTTTAATAGTTTTGCAAAATAAAAAATTCATGCAAATACACGTGTTTCTGAGTTAATAATTAATCAAAGGGTGTCATTATTTAAAAAAAAAGCCAAAATAATGGAAACGAATAAATTTGAAAATGACAAGTTAGGATTTAATACCGCGTGACTGTAAATGATTGTGATTTTTTACCTCAACTTGGTGTCAAATTTAAAATTTTAGTTTGATAACCTTGATTTTCAAATTCACACTTTTAAAGAAGTTTTTAAATTTAGGGAAATTTCCGTCAGTTGGTAACACACGTATAGCAGTGTTATTCATGAAGGCGTTGGAAAATTCAACTCAAACTACTGATATTTCTGATTATGCGTAATCTAAATGAATTCTCAAGCTCACCAACATTAAAATGTCAATTAAATATTGAAGGAATTTCAAAAGATAAGTGCGATTTCTTATCGAAAATGGCTTTGAAGGAACATGTGGATGTCATCGTACTTCAAGAAACTCACACTTCGTCGGATTTGGATCTCTTTTCCCGTGGACAAATCTCTGGCTACACCTTGGTGGATTTTATCAATAGTGCTTCTTACGGTTGTGCGACATATGTTAAATCAGACTTCAAGGATTTTCAATCCATCGCCAAATCACAAKAAAACAACATCTTTTACCTCACTGTCAAAATTGCTGGTATATTTATTATTAACATTTATAAACCCCCTAATGATCAGTGGCCTGCAAATCTAATGCTGAATTATCATCCTGCTGTTTACATTGGCGATTTCAATTGTCATCACAATTTGTGGGGTTATGCGGAGAATGACAAAAATGGTCTTGCACTTGTCTCATGGATGAAACTAAACAAGCTCATTTGGTTTTTGACGGTAAAACTAGGAAGAGTTTTTATTCGGCCAGATGGAAGAAGGAATACAATCCTGATTTATGTTTTGTTACAATGAATAACGAAGTACCATTACAAACATCACGTACTATCTGGTTTTCCACGCAGCCAACATCGTCCGGTTATTGTTAAACTTGGCACCGAAATAAAACAATTTCCTTCTCTTCCAAAACCTAGATGGAATTTCCAAAAAGCCAAATGGACTGAGTTTTCCAAACAAGTGGATAGTGATCTTCGTTGGATTCCCCCAATTGTAGTGAACTACCGCAGATTTGTTGGAGTAGTCAAAAATGCTGCTAAAAAATTCATCCCTCGAGGATTCAGGAAAAGTTATATTCCATGTTGGAGTGTTGAAACAACGAGCTTGTACAATTCATATACATCCAGTCCTAATCCAGAGAATGCCGATGCTGTACTAAATTCGTTAAATAAGGCGAGAAAAGAAAAATGGAACAGCTTAATGGAAAATTTAAATTTCACACATAGTAGTCGCAGTTCTTGGAAGCTTTTACAAAAACTTGGATCTTCGAACTTTGATCTGCCTAAGTCAGATTGTGCGATCAACCCAAACACTGTAGCTAGTCGTTTGGTAAACATTTCAAAATCTGTTAAGTTAGGAAGAAAAGAAAGGAAGGAGATGAAACGTCGGGTTCAAAAACAAAAAAGAAAGGCGAACATTTCAGAAGAACTATCGAGATGTTTCAACGTAGATGAATTAGAAGAGGCCATATCATCAACGAAGTGTAAAAAATCAGCTGGTTTTAATGGGATCTACCCAGAATTCATCAAAAATCTCGGAAGTTTTGCACTGAAATGGCTTACTTCTTTTTTTAATGATATTTTAATTTCAGCCCGTCTGCCTTCGGAGTTTAAAAAGACCAAGGTGATCGCAATTTTGAAAAAGGGAAAATCTCCACAGGAAGCGTCCAGTTACCGGCCCATTTCTTTGTTGAGTGTTTGTTACAAGATTCTGGAGAGGATGATTTATCAGCGCATTTCTCCTATTGTTGAGGATGTTCTTCCCCCACGAACAAGCTGGATTTCGACCACAAAGAAGTTGCTGCGACCAAGTCTTAGCTTTAACGACCCACATTGAATCTGGTTTCGAAAAACGTTTAAAAACTGGTGTTGTTCTTTTGGATCTCACTGCCGCATATGATACAGTATGGAAGGATGGTTTAATACACAAACTTTATAAAATCGTACCTTGCAAACGGATTGTCAGTCTTATCGAGAGCAYGTTAACAAATAGAAAATTTAGAGTTTTTATTGGCGAAAWATCARGCAAAGTAAAAAMTCTTAATAATGGTCTTCCTCAGGGTGCWGTATTATCTCCATTGCTTTTTAATGTCTATACGAGTGATCTCCCTGATACACTTTCAAGAAAATTTGTGTATGCTGACGATATTGCTCTGACTTTTCAACACAAGGAATTTGATCAACTAGAAAAACAACTTTCCCATGATGCTTCTGCTTTGTGTGATTACTTCAAGAAGTGGCGTCTGTGTATAAACCCATCGAAAACAGAAGTTTCTTGCTTTCATTTGACAAATTCTCAAARAGATAGGAAAATAAACATTTCATTAAATGGAATACCACTTAAGCACAACTTTCATCCGATCTACCGTGGTGTCACTCTTGACTGTTCTCTTACCTACAAGTTCCACCTGGAAAAAATTAGACAAAAACTGAAAACAAGAAATAACATTTCACTAAAGTTAGCTGGTTCGACTTGGGGTGCTAATGCCAAAACTCTTCGTATCACAGCTCTAGCATTAGTTTTCTCAACGGCAGAATATTGTAGTGCTGTATGGATGAACAGTTCACATACAAGCAAAATAGATGCACAATTAAACACTGCCATGCGAGTCATAGCTGGCACTTTAAAATCAACTCCCACTGAATGGCTTCCAGTACTGTCTAACATTGCTCCGCCTCTACTAAGAAGAAAACTTTTAGTAAAGAAACTCTGGAAAAAATATAGAGAACATCCGCAAGATTTTCCAATATGGTCTGACCTGATTGCCCCCGAAAATCGATTAAAATCTAGAAAACCCTTCTGGCTTGAAACGGCAAATATTGAAAACTTCTTCGTTTCTGATGAGTGGCGCAACATGTGGTCAAATGTTCAACTTTTCAATAAAGATCTAATAGTAGATCCAACAATAAGAGTACCTGGAATGGATCAGCCAAGATGGGTCTGGGTGAAATTGAACAGATTAAGAACTGGTCATGCTAGATGTAATTCTATGTTATTTAAATGGAATGCTGTTGAAAATCCATATTGTCAATGTGGTCAAGTAGAAGAATCTGTACAACATATTGTCGAAGAGTGTCGACTTACGA